CAGACAAAGAAACAGAAGTGTTTATACGCATATAAAATTTTCCTTAGTACATCAGGATAAAATGCAGAGCACTTGGTGGGAAAGAATAACAGAATTTGAAGTAGACATGCATCATTTGGGATGACAAGCAGAAACTAGAAGGTCTGAGTTTAAGTAAACATCACAGAGTTGGCATCAGCATGAAGCCACTGTACATTTGCAGTTACTTTTTCATTTCTCTTTTGCATTCCCTCAGTGTGCAGCAGAAAGGGATTTTGGCGAGTGCTCCCTGACAAACTCTAGAGCAGGATCTCATGTCTGGAGAAGTAGATATTGAGGGTCTGGCCAGCTAGAAAAACTTCACTACAAAACTTTACAGAGTGACAGCAGAGAAAAGTGATGGAGTGATCAGGCAAAGCAGAAGGAGGTAAGAAGCCAGAACCAACACATGGTTTCTGTACCAGCGATGCTGACGATTGGGGGATCTGAGCTAGAGCTCCATCCTGCCCTGATAGGCTGAGAAACCCTTCCTATTTCCCAAATACTCCAAGTACTGAGCCATAACCCAAGTAGGAGAAATGCAATTTTAAGAATATCTGTTCACCTGTGCTTAAAAACCTAACACTAACATTTTCAGCTTAAAAAAAAAATCTGACTGCATTTAAAATTTGGAAGTTATAACAAAACCATTTTCAGAATGCAGTTTACAAATGCTATGAATCAAATTAGCTTTTTATTTACATCTGCCATGCAACATCATGTCCTGGGGATGCCTCAATACTGGCACAACTGCTGCTGAACATTATGACAAACCACAACATTCCAGAGTATGTACTTTGTCCCACTGGGGAAAAATTAAAATATAATTGCTCTGGTTCTAACTCACATCAGATTTCACTCCTTCTGTAAATGAGTAAACAAAACTATATCGATCTTGGCTGTTACATCAGTCAAGAGCTTTGATATTTCACAAGGGGCCCACGCTTATAAACAAAAGAGGAAAAAAATCCCACATAATCTGTCAGCTTGGCTATGGAGAGCTACCTCAAGTTTCTCTGGTTTGGGGAGGTATTTTAGTATTTCCTAACGTAACAAAACATGATGGAAGAAAACTCCAAAGCACCTAAGTTTGGGTCCAGGCTCTTATGACACTAGACTATGACACAGATGCTCAACCCCAGCCCTTCACTTCCATCAGTCCTGAGTTTCTAATACATTTTTGTAATGATCCCCTTCAAACTTGAATGATGAAAGTGCACATTTTGCAAATGACACCTCAGCCAATCTGCCCCATCTGCATGAACGACAGCAAATGATTTCACTCTTTAGGCTTTCAAAATAAAATGCACATGCTGCAAATTCCAAGCTGGCAGGAAAATCCAGTCATTAAAAAAGTGATTTGTTTCCTAGAATTGCAAACACAAAGCCTCAATTTATTTCCAATGACATAAAGAAAATGAATTGTTATATTTTTTTAAACAACCACAGCCCGGACATATTGGAAATGTTTTAATTTCAAAAATACTAACTGGCAAATTAGAGTCTAAATAGCTTCTCTAAAGTGGTACCATCTTATACACAGTTTTCAGATTTATTTCATCACTTTGCCCTGCAGGAAAAGGTTTTATCATCTTCTGCATAAACTGTAATGATGCCTATTTGTTGCTGGTGTCACTAAATTTAAGAAGAAACTTAAGATACGTGAATTTTAAGTAAAATTATACTCATTAACAAGAAAATATATCATACGTTATGGGAGCCCAAAAAAAAAAAAATCTACATTTCTATTAAAATATTTTTTGTCTCTATCATTCTGTCTTTCCTACTTTCTCTTCATGAAACAGAAGAATGGAAACAGAACAGCAAATTAAGAAAATAGCAAACATAATTGATATAGTCCTATCCTAAGAAAGCTTGCAATCACTATCAACTTTACACTAAATGAGCTGCTTAATTGGACTCACCAGGACTATTCCCTATACAAAATGTAAACACATACATAATTCTTTCCAGGATCATGATTATGTAAGGGTTATCTGTAATGAAAATAAAACTGTCTCCTTTTTTCCCCCCCAAACTTCTCAATCTGCACTTATTTTTGTGGCTATAGCAGCATCTGGTGGACAAATTGCAAAATGAACATTTGGCATATGATAAAAATATATGTATTTTAAAATATAAATTGTTTTAATTGCTCTTCCTTTTTTAAAGTTAAAAAGAAAAAAAAACACAAAAAAATCCAGTTTGGATAATCCTTAATAACTTTAAAGTTATTACATCTCTTATAAATGCTTTTTATCCTTACCTTTTCCTCCCTCATTGGACCTCTCAGCTAAGTACTTGTGTACTATGAAGTGCTAGTCATAGTCTATCAGTGAACACAGGTCCACTTTGACAAAAAATGTACATATACCCCATAAATACAAAGTTTGCACAGTTAAGCAGTTAAAAAATTAGAACCTATCATAAAATGAAGTTTTAAAGTTATAGCTAAGAGAACAAAACGAACTCCTGCAGGTTTTCTCTCAACAGAATCAAAGACTAAAAAGAACTCAGATCCCTAAAATAACCACCAAAGGGCAAGTTCACGTGCTAGGGTGGCAGACACTTTTTTCCTGCTTCACTCATCTCTTCTATGCTTTGTTCTGACTTTCATGTAATTGCTCTCTCCTCTTTCATATTCCTTTTACTAAAATATCTGCCCTATAGGAATATCTGTTTAGAACCTGAAAAAAAGTATTTAATGATACGAGTCAAATACAGCTGTAATTGTATTTGCTAAAATTGCTCACTGCTGAAGTTGGCTTGAAGTGAATCCCAAAGGGCTGGAAACACATGAATATATTGGTTAAAATGACAACTTTCTCCTCCAAGTGAAAGAGGAGCCAACAAGGAGAGGTACTATGCTGGATCTTGTTCTCACCAACAATGAGGAGCTGCTGAGGAATGTGAAGTACAAGGGCAGCTTTGGCTGCAGTGACCATAATATGGTGGAGTTCAAGATCCTTAGGGCAGCCAGGAGAATGAAAAACAAGCTGGCTTCCTCAGGCTTCAAGCAAGAGGATTTGGATCTCTTCATGGATCTTTATCCTGTGGGAGAGTACCACAGGATAAAGCCCCAGAGGGAAGAGGCACCCAAGAAAGATGGCTAATAGTCAAGGATCACCTCCTCTAAGCTTAGGAGCAATGCATCCCAACAAAGAGGAAGTTGGGCAAAAACTGGATGGGCAGTCAGGATGTCTGCATGGATAAGCAGTTCCTGGACAAATTGCAACATAAAAGAAAACCCTACAGAGGACAGGTACTTTCCTACTTACTAGCAGAAAAGCTGTCGCAGCATACGTCACAGTTGAGACAACCACAATACACAGAGCATCACCATACAATTTCAGACAGCTTCATCCCACACAGAGTAACAACACATCAGAAGGCTTCAAGCATCTGCCCTTCTTATTCTTTAGCCCAACCTTTTATACCCCTCATGTTCATGCACTGCACCTGCGTGCCCTCTGTTCCCTTTGGTGGTTGGTCAGTGCCCCTGGGCACTCCATGGCTCATTGCTGTCAATGCTGCTCACCTGCTGCTCACAGCTGCAGCCCATTGCGGATGAGGCTGGACACAGCCCCACTCCCAATCACCATAAACTGTGCACCTACAGAAAGTAGCATAGCCAACACACACAACCACACACAAAAAATATTCTGAATTTACACAGACCAGCAGCTTGATTCAGATATTGCTTTTGCTAACAAACACAACATCCCTAAAGCTCCAAAATGAGGCACTTGCCAAAACCTCCTTGAAGTTCATTACGGTTGTTTGCATTTTACACAGCAAGTGTAACTACGATACAAGGTAGTGTCATCTTAGGCACGCAGACAGAAATTCAAAGAAATTTTGGTGAGAAGAGGCAGGGTTCTGGATACAACCAAAGTATCTGTGGAAGACATCTGCAGTCATTCACCAACTCCAGGATGATTCACTGGAACACCGTACACACCAAGCTTTGTCAACTGGTCACGCTTTCAGTGACTTTAAGAGCCTTGACACAAACATGTACGAGACTCACATTTCATACTTGTAGAAGATACCTGTGAGGTGCTGAAAAGCATAGATAGGAAGCAAGCATAGATAGGAAATTAACTTGGAAACTGAAATGAATCAATCCAATGCAAGTGTCTCTGTACCTGTACATAAGACATGTACAACAAGCCTTGGTAGGAGTAGTATTTTTCATTTAATCAGGTAATATAATCAACAGGCAACTTTTTGGGCACATATCCCCTCCCCCATGAGTGTGAAGTAGGAAGAACACTTTGGAAGACTAAACACAAATTACTACTGTAACTGGGATTCTACTCACACATGTGCTGTTCCCCAAGGAAAGAGTCTTGGTACCTATCTAGAAGGTTCTAGGTTAATATGAGAAAAAGTTGTTATGTGCCAAGGGGGAAGTCTGACATATATTTTATTCTGTGGAATACCAAGTGGCTAACAGGATGGGAAAAAATTGTCATACCTCATTTCACCCCTAGCATGGTACTTGCAAACTGCATTTCCCCGACTGATCTTCATAGGCGTCCCTGGAAGCTTTTACTCCTTCACCAGCACATCCAGGTGTCCAGCTCCCATGTAACCCTGCCCGAGGCAAGACCTGCTGTCCTTGGCCTTGCTGCTCTCATGTCCGAGGGCTCTGCTGATGTTCATGATATGTGTTTTACAATCAACACGCACACACACACGGGCTGTAGAAGCTGTGGGTTCTTCATTCCTTAGCGTTCTTTGCCTGCAGTCTGGCAAAGCTCAAGCACTGCACCCGTAGAGCCAGGCCAGACTTAGACAGGAAAGGTGCCCAGGGACAGACTGTTTAAATGTAATTTTAAACTCTTCTTATTTTCCCGCTCAAACTCCGTGTCCAGCACCCCCCACGTGCGCTAACCGAGGCATGGTACCGCCGGTGCCCGCCCACAGCCGGGCGGAGGCCGGGCTGCGGCTTCGGGGCTTCCGCCCGGCCCGGGGCGGAGCCGGCTCCGTCCGCCCGCCCTTCCCGGAGCCCGACATGGCGGAGTATTCCTGCGTCAAATCCACCAAGCTCGTCCTCAAAGGATCGAAAGAGAAGAGGTGAGGAGCGGGCTGCCCGCCGCGCCGCCCCTGCCCCGCGCTGCGGCAGCCGCCGGGGCCCGCACCGCCGCCGGGCCGGTATAGGAGGCCGGGCAGGGATGAGGCCGGGCCGGGCCTGCCCTTCCCTTTCCTTCGCTCCGGCCCGGGGGCTCGCCGGCGGGGCAGGGCAGGGCAGGGGCCGGGCTTGGCACCGCAGGATCCCGGCCGGGGTCAGGGACCGCTCCCGCAGGGCCCGGCCGTGAGGCCCGGCGGGACAAGGGCCGGGTCGGCGGCTCGTTCTCACTTCTTTGCATCTCCCCTTGCAGCAAGAAAAAGCACAAGGAAAAGAAAAGGAAAAGGGAAGAGGATGCGGCAGAGCAGCTCGATATTGTTGGTGAGCTGCTTTCCAGGAGTTATGCGACAGTGCGGAAACTGTAGGGGATGTGCCAGAAGCTAAGGAGGTCGTTATAGGACTTGGTAAAGCAAGTGTAACTCCTGTAGAAATATATAACAGTTTCTCACAACATGTCAGTTGTGTCTTGGGATCTTCCTAGATTCCATACAGAACTTGTGACACCAATAGAATGGATTCAGTTTTTTATAAGTAATAAAAAAAAAGCATTACTATCTTAATGAGCTAGGAAATATTTGTAAGACAGTATACAAAGAGAAAACTTTACTGTTCAAAAAATGTAAAAGTCATAATTCTAAGTTGTGCACGTGGGAAGGGCTTTAACTTTGGTAGAATTCTGTAGGAGTCAAATGTTCAAATCCAGATTGGTTTGAACAACTGAGGTCTAAGGATTACAACTTACATATTTAACAGCAAGATTAAATAGTGTCTCTGATTCTCTTTTGCTGGAGAATCTTATAAATGGATATGACTCCAAAACTACAGGAGACAGATCCAGAGGGAAAAAATCTTTTTCTTGTTAAGTGTGTCTTTGCTGCATCAGCTGAATGAATCAGCTTGGTCTGTGGACTAACACAAAGAAGGGATGAAGCACAGGAGCTTGTAGCTAGGGATGACAGCTGGTCAAAGAGCAGGACTTCCTGAAGCAGCAGCAGCAACACCATTAAATTGGCTCTGGACTATAAAATAATGCACAAAGGTTGTGAGATCAGCTATCTTTTGAATTTAAAATTTCAAAGACACAGAAATATAACCTCTTTGGCTATTGTAATCAGAAGCTGTGGTTACTCTGTTAATAAACTGTCATGTTTTTTTATTACAGGAAACTGGTGGGCTGTCAGTAATTTTGGTGAAATTACAGGAACTATAGCTATAGAAATGGATAAAGGAGCTTACATCCATGCCCTCGACAATGGCTTGTTTACACTTGGAGCACCACATAAAGGTTTGTTCCAGGAAATTTGAAAATAATAGAGTTTTAATAATGAAGTGCCTAAAAGCATAGAACTAGCATCACCTCAAGGCAAGCAGTGTTACAGCTGAAACCAGTTTACTACAAAAAATGCAATAATTCTTGCTGAAGCATGCAGATGACTTAAACCTAATGACTGCCAATCAGTTTCACTCATCTAGTTTCATGCTGGCTTATGTGTGCAATAAATTGAACTGCACTGTAGATGATTACCTGTTAAAGGCCATACCACTTGCTGGATAAAAAGCAGTATAATTTTTATTAAAACCTATAAAGTGTTTATGGTGTCACTTGAAGAGTGAAATTCAAGGTAGATGAGTTTTAATGCTTATTGCTGCATCCTTGTCATAATATACTTGTTTTGTCACTGCACAAGAGAACTACTAATGTGCTGGGATAATTAGCTTGTTCTTTGAATTTGAGGGCAGTGACTCTGACATGGACTGTTCCAGAACCCTGACAGTCTGTGTGTGTTTCATCTCCAAACAGAGATCAGAGCAACAATGGCCATATTCTCTTGGTTTGGTTTTGAGGGATGGAGAATCCAGTAGCTTTTAGGATACTGAGTCAAGTTACCATAGCTGAACCATAATGCATTTTGTTAAGAAAGTGATAACGTTACAAGGAGATTAAGGTATTCAAAGCCACCAGGAAAATTACAAAACATTCTTAATTATAAATTTCTTTAACTTATGATAATCTTTATTTTGTGCCTTGTTTTAAGCATTGTAAATATATGAACATAAACGAGCACTTGCATTGCTTTTTTAAAAGTGAGTACTCAAAAAGGAATTTTTAATGAAATAAATACTTTCCATAGTATTTAGAAATAGTCCATGTTCTTTTTGATACTGCAGTATTAGTAGGCTAATACATTTTATGTTTATACTTCATACTTAACTAATGGAAAATTCATTCCTCAGGTGATGAAGGCCCTAGTCCTCCTGAGCAGTTTACAGCAGTTAAGTTATCTGATACAAGGTAATTACTGTAATGTTTCAAGTTTTGATACTTGTTATCTTTGGATTTTGTGAGATTGAAATACATTGTCTTTTACTAAAAGTGTCGGTGATGTTTTGGGTATTGTGCATTGCATTACTTAAAAACACTCTTTCTTGTTTCCTACATTTTCTCTTTGAGGATTGCTCTCAAGTCTGGTTATGGCAAATACCTTGGTATAAACTCAGACGGGCTTGTTGTTGGACGTTCCGATGCAATAGGATCAAGAGAGCAGTGGGAACCTGTCTTCCAAGATGTAAGCTGTTTGCAATAGTTTATTTGATGTTGCTAGTGTTTGATTGTATTTTGAGTTAATCTCTGTAGATGGGTATTTTTACTATGAAGTTAAAGCCTTTTGCAATCTCTTTCATATTGTAACTTATGATTTTCCAACTGCAATGCATTTACTGTAATTGAAAGTTTTTTAAATGCTTCAATAGCTGCATTTTCGCAGCTATAAGCATCTTAAAAATGAAGGAGTCAGCAAGTCTGGCTAGCTAGTGAAGTATCCATCCATAAAAGAATTATTTACAGAGATGTTTGGCATATTTTAGAGGATAAATTGTTACAAATCAAGGATTATATACAACCTCATTATACTTACAGTGTGTGATATTGTTTCTGCAGAGGAAAATGGCATTACTAGCAGCAAACAGCCGTTTTATCAGGTGTAATGAAGAGGGGGACATAGAAGCCAAAAGCAAAACTGCAGGGGAAGAAGAAATGATAAAGGTAATCTATAACTTCTACAATCTACAATTAATACAGGATTGGCAGGAATCGAACTCAAACAAGCAGGTGTCTGTGTGCTATGATTTTCTGTTAATACAGTTATAATTTCTTTCTATCAGCTGTCAAGTGATCTGGCCACAAGAAAGGTAAATGAGTTCCAGGGCTGTAATAATTCTCAGTATCCCCTGTAGAGATAAGAAGATACTTTACCACTCAGGAGGACAAAAGAGTCTATGTGATCTTCCAGGTACTTCTAAACAGCTTGGGACAGAAGAGAGGAATTATGACCAAATCAGGGACAGAGAAGGGCTTACCAGAATGATCCAGAAGGGGAGATCTTTTAAGAGAATCTGAAAAGAGTATCTTGACTTTATCTGAGCATGGGAAATATATCTCTACTCTCCAAGTAGAGATAGGTGTCTTAACTAGGTGTCAGAGCAATAGTATTTTAAGTCAATCTCTGAATTGTCCCTGCCAAAATTAAGAACTGTAGTAGTGCTTCTTTGAGATAAAGGCAGTTATGTCTAGTATCAAGGATTGCACTTAACATTTCCCATATTTCATGCAGCTCTTACTTTTGCAGTTGTTTCTGGTTAACCAGTTTGAAAACTGTGAACTTGAAAAGTCACTGTGACTCTCATTCTGTTAGAAAGGATATGTAGTCATCTTTCACCTGTAACTTACTGTTTTTAAAATGCAGGTGTTTTCTGTTGTGTTTTGGTTGTTTTCTCATTTTTCTTTCAATTATTAGATTCGTACTTGTGCTGAAAGAGAAGCTAAGAAGAAAGATGACGTTCCACAAGAAGACAAAGGAAACGTTAAACAATGTGAAATCAATTACGTGTACGTACTTTGAAGCTGGTAACAGGCTCAAGTACCTTTTTTGTTTCTGACTGGAGCTGTCTTTGGGCCCCACGCCCATCCAGCCTTTCACTCACTTCTCATTAGTAGGACAAGGCAGAAAACAGGGTGAGATAGCTCATTGCTTGAGATAAAGGAGAGCTGCTGTACCAGATACTGTCCCAGGGTTAACTATGAACAATTAGTTAAATTTATTTTCTTTTCATTGCATGTAGATTCTGAGAGACAAAAATTAATAACACCACCTTTCCTTCTCCCATCTCAAGCTCAACTTCTCTCCAGAGCTTCTACCTGCTCCACTAAGCCACATGGGCTGTAGGTCAATACACAGTGGTTTCTTTCAGCCACTCCCTTCCTTTCCTGCTTTTTTTTTTTCTTTTTCCTGCTATGGTATGGTCTTAATCATGGGCTGGAAGGTAATATTTGGTCCAGTACCTAGAGCATCTCCTTCCTCTCCTTCTCTGTGCTTGATGTTCCCACTGCCATTTTGCGCTTTTAGGGTTTGGTTTTTTTTTTCCTTCTCTGCCTGTGTGGCATTTTGCTTTATCTTAAATCTGTTTCCATGGGAGTGCCACCAGCTTTGCTGATGGATTTGGCTGTGTCCTGTAGTGGATGTCATGAGAGCCAGCTCTGTCCAGTGCAGGTCAGCCCCTGGCCTTTTCTCACGGAGAAAACACCTGCACTTCCCTACAGTCAGCACCTTGCAACTACATCCAGTACACTTTTGCTCCCCGATTTCTTATGCTAGTAGTTAAATAAGGGGCTCTTTAAAATGTGTAACCACTTCATGCTAGTCACACAGGGGCTCATTCCTACTTAGACTGCCAAAAAAAGCAAAACCTGAATAGTTTTCACCTACAGAAGCCTTAGTGCAACCTTAGTACTGGGATGGTTTGCTGGATTTTATTAGGTCAGTTACCTGCTGCTTTAATAGAAGCTAAGATTCTTACCACAGCTGCTGTTGTGTTGGGAAACAAAAAAATTTTAAACGCTTCAGTTCTTTACTACTTTTCTTTTCTTCCCCCTTACAGGAAGAAATTCCAAAGTTTTCAAGACAAAAAGCTTAAAATAAGCAAAGAAGATACAAAAGCCCTTAGGAAAGCCAGAAAAGAAGGCACTTTTCATGAAATGCTACTTGACAGGTACTTCAAAGTGCTAGAAATAATGCATTGATTAACAAACTACTGGGAGATGGACATACGGTAAAACTGGGGTACAGAAGAGGGCTGGATTTCAGGGATGTAGGTTCCTGAGCATTTTTCCTCTGGTGAGTGTTGTGCCTGAGTCCTGGGGGTTGTCACCTTTTTTTTTACTTTTTCTTTTTTTCACTTCTTTAGCTGAAGTTTGCAAGTTTGAAATTACCTGTAAATTAGTTCTTTTGAAAATCTTTAACTAGGTTGTTTAGTTTGTTTAGTATGGAGTTGTTGAGGGATTAATCTTTAATCGTGAAAATTGAGCTAATTTTTAACATTTTCCAATACCTATGGTACCAGACTATTTTGGAGAGGCAGAAGTTGCATTTTAAAGAGAAATAATGTTTATTAAGAACAGTCTTCGTATCATCTAGTGGGAATTTTTTTCCCTGCTAAACTGAGACTAAAGAAACCACATTGAATTTTTAAAGGCTTTTATGTCAGTATATAGTATAAATATTTGCATTAATTCAGTGGCTGGAATGCAGAAAACTATTTCTGATAATTACAAGTAATGTGAGAACACTCCTGGGTTCTCACAGGTGGTCAGCTTCAGATCATGCTGAATGTGAATTCCATTCCTCAGGGGAGACAAAATGCAATTATGATGATTTGAAGGGAAAGTCAAGGTTAACTTTAGACACTGCAGTTCTACCTCCTGAGGAAAACAAAGTTAATCAACAAATCCAAAGTGTTGTTAGGCCTTTATATGTACTTTGAAGCAGAGTTCAAGAAAAATTGCTTTCAATGCATTCTTAACATTTGAAGCAGATAAAACACCCAGGTGTAATTGTATTTGGTCTTAATCTAAATCTTGTTTCATTCACTTTTCCCATACAGGAGAGCTAAAGTGAAAGCAGATAGATACTGCAAGTGACATCCAGCTGGCCCATTTTCTTCTGCAACTTTGATGGCAGCGTCAAATTGAAAAAGAGTAAAATATTTTATAGGTGTTTTTTATTTAAAGATTTTTTTTAAGTATCTTGAGGAATTGTATTAAAATTTTCTCAAATATTAATAATCCAGTTATCTTGTTAACTGTATAATTTGTGAATACTTGGCTTGTATGAAGGGAATGGCTCCAACAAAAATTAAAGGTAAATCAATTAATAATGGTAAGCTATTTGCCATGTAACTTAAGCCCTGGGAGACAGACTGTACACTGATTTAGTCCAGAGAGAAAGCTCCCTGGCTTTTAGTTGCCTTTAGGACAAAATTTAGAAATAAATAGATTATTGTATGCAAATGTTCCTGGCCAGAGTCAGGAATTCTTGAATAAAAATGCGGCATAGCTGTGAGGTGTGCTGTGGCAGAGAGGGAGAAAAAAAGTTACTGATTTTTCTCCAGAGCTCTTAGTTTGGCCTAGGACTGGGGATTAGGGCTCATTAACTCATTGTTATAGGTACCACACTACACATCCCTCCCTAGAAATGTGACTGATGTACAACAAGCCATTGGAGTATCACAGTGCTGCTGTGGCCTGCTGCCAAAATTACACTCAGAAACACCAGGAAAAAACCAGCACTGCAAGGAGCAGGCTGCAGCCCAGAGTAACTATTTATTGGAAGTTCAGTGCAGGTGTCATTGATCCACAGTCACTGTGAATCTTAAATACATCTGAAGTGAACACTGATGGTGGAAGTAGATTGATATTACAGCATCTATTTTTCTTTCAAGAATATATTGTTTGAATAAAAACTCGACTCATAGAACCCACAAAAATGGTTTCTCAGATAGATCTGGAAGCAGAAGTATATGCTCTGGTGGGGAAGGGTGCTGAAAGGACTGCTCAGCAGGAGAATAAGAACCTGAGAATTAGCCCTGAAAGGGAATTTTCCATTTCATATTAGTGTAAATAGAAGAATACAATGTGTTGCAAGTAGCTATAAGTGATAGTAAGGGGAAAACAGAACTTTTGTCTTTTGTGTTTGTCACAGAGAGGTGAGTAAGTGAAGTAAAAAGCAGTGGCAGAGCAAATGAAATGGGACTGTCCCTGGTAGGAGAGGAAGTACTAGAATTGGCAAAGGACTGGCAGCCTTGCAGAGAATAAGAGTATTTTAGTAACAATGGGGTTGCCCTGTATGTTGGGACTATGATACTCTAGAGTCTTGAGAAAATGTGTTCTGAGACAGCACAGGAACAGGGATCTGGGGAACTCACTGGAAATCTAGGCCCAAGAAAGTGAAATCAATGGTATAACAAAGCAGTGAAGGTCAGTGTATTTATTTAACTGTTGCTCTGAGTCTTTTTGGAGGTTTTCCCAATGGAGGTATTCATGGAGTCATCTTGAAGATACTACATCCTGACAGTAGTGTTAACACAAGGAGCTTTAATTTAACTGAAACAGAAAAAAGGGGAAAGTAATTTGGGCAGCCCCTACTTAGGGGGGAAGGAAAAGATCTGGAGAGTGGTAATACAGTACTGGATAGATGTAGAGTATGAGAGAGCAGAAGGGTGGACATAAATGCTAAGTTTCAGTGAGATCAGCTGTCAGTACAGTTAGCATGCTAACTGTACATTTTAAGAAGCATTTTCCTTCTTAGATTTTTAAAAACTGACAGAAGAAACCTAGACTAACCCAGCCTAAGGTGCTGGTGTGGACCCTGAAGGCAAGGCATTGTGATAGGAACACAGCAGAATAGCCATAGCCAGAGAAGGTGACTGGTGCTGGAAGCTAACTGTTTCTTAAACTGAGAATTTCTTTACCAGTGAAAGAACTAAACCAGAATCAAAAAGAGGCCTCAAAAAATTACACTGTGTAATGTGACAATGACATCATTTTGTCTTCAGAGCATTTGGAAAGAGATTTTAATTTTCCAAAGTCATTGTTTATTTTCCCCTGTTAAAAATGTACTAAAGGTGGTAAAGCATCTAGACAAAGATAATGAAGTCCCTAACAGCTGTTCACCCCAGATATAAAAGATGACCAAAAGATGTTCAGAAAATAGCAGGACCAACTTAATCAGACTCTTTCTTACCATAGCCAATAATAGTATATTCAGATATCTGAAGTAAACACAGGATTATTGTTCTACATGTATTATTTTCAACTGAAAATATTTTCCAAACCCTAGAGAAACTGCCTGATGTCCTGTTTTTAAAGAGCACTCCCATGAAAATCTCAAGGTTTATCCTGTTACACTGTAGTTTTCCTCAGTTTCCAAATCCACAGATTGATCCTGTATCTTCTTTCACCTCTGCTTAAATGTTTTTATGCCTTGGTCTCTAAAGCTCTGTGTAATTCCCAGCTTCTGCTCTGAGCTGGCTCCTTACTACACTGTTGCATGCTCTCCTCCCAGGGCTTTCCCACACTACAGTATATTTTTTATCCTTTCCTGTTTCTTAATTTTTGCAGTTCCACACAGCTTTCCAATCAACTGTCTGCCAAGGACTTCCCTTTTTTTCTTGCCACCCCCACTTGGTTTTGTAAGAGAGTTAATTGCACAGGCAGTTAAGTCACGATGTGGAGACTGCATCACTTCTTTTCTGTGTGCCTAAAAACACGTGGCATGGCTTAGGCATTGCACAGGCCACACGAGACAGGCTAAAACACAGGCATCCTGGAAGGTTTTGAGTACTTTTTCATGGTATTTTTCATGGTGCTTCCACCAACTGTTGCCAGTGTACACACTCATGAAGCGTTTGTTTGCTCACACTAAAATGATAATGCTCGTACTAAAATGACAGTACACACTTAATTTGGATGCTGATTTGTACTTGATGTTACAACAGCCTGGTATAGTGGAAGGTGGCCCTGCCCATAGCAGGCGGCTTGGAGCTTTAAGGTCCCTTCCAACTCAAACTATTCTCCAATTCTATGAAATAGATATCATTTAAATAATAATTAGAAGGCACTTACAGATGGATGCATCTCATACCATTAGTCTGTCTCCCCAGTTGCCCACTTCCTGCACTCCTAAGCTGCAAGATGGAGAAAAATCTTTCTCCAAGAATGTGCCTGCCTGGCATCTTTCATTACCACTGATGCTCAAAAGATAGGCAGGAAATAAATCCCCATGGACCGATATCTGTAGAGCAGGTATTTGTTTATTGCAGTGCTGGTGGTGAGGGGGATATCTCCTCCTAACTCACCCACCCGTGTCAAGTGCTGTGGTGTATTTATACAGTAAGTATTGCTATGTCACTACAACATCATCACACATGTGCTGGAACTAATTTACATAGTGTGATCTTATGTTATTAGATCGTTCTTTTGCACTGCATTTGTGTCTCCCCAATTCAGGGGTTGTCGGGGGTTTTTGATGAAGGCTTCCCAAGGTCTTCTTCATATCTGAACTTTTCAACTTTGTCTTCAGAGCATGCACAGTTACAGTGTTCCTTGGTCTGTCTGTTCCTTAGCCAGTCTAAATTCTTCATTTTGTGGCTAATTGGCTTTACATTTGCCAATTTTTTATTAGCACCATACTTACCTCCCATCCACCTGGTGAGTTTTTTCTTAAGTTTTTTTTTTTTGTCTGTTCAGCATTAAGCAACTACTTAACCATATACCAGCCATTACATTGTCTAGAAAGTTATTTATATCAGGTTATTTATACCAGGTAAAAGCTATAATTCAGGTTATATCAGGTTATATCTTATAACTCAAGCTATGTAACCACCTTGTAACTTTGACCTGAGTTATATAGGCATCACCACACAGCCTACCTAAAATCCGCGCAGGACACAGAGTAATTAAAAACCGCACTACTGCCAAAGTGAAAACTGGTGCCACGGGTTTTCTCCCAGCGTTGCCAAAGAGAGGCGATTCTATTTCAGACTCTCCTGTGCGGAAGTTGCCATTTGTGGAAGGGCGACTGGAACCGAACTGCTGAGCTTCACCATAACAGCACGGGCGGGGCCGTGCAGTGCCGCGCCGGGCTGGGTCTGGCCGTGCCGGCGCTCCCGCCCCCGGCGGGCGGGGCTCTGTCATGTGGCCGCGGCTCCGGGAAGCGCCGCTCGGAGCCGAGCCGGGCAGGACCATGGCGGGCCGGGCGCTGCTGGCGCTGCTGCTGCTGGCGCAGCCCGCCTGGGCGCCGGACCCGGTGAGCCTGGCGGGGGACGGGCGGGAGCGGACGGCGCCGGGGCTGGCGGGGGGGATGCGGCCGCCGCCCTTCTCCAGGCGGGAGGCCGGGCGAGCCTCGGGATCCACGCGTGTGGATGCGCGGCAGCGCCTCGCTGCCCCCACGGGCTCCCCAGGCCGGGCAGGGCTCCTGCGGGAGCGGCGGGAGGAGCTGTGCGAGCCCTTGCTCGCTCCTGCGCTCGGGTCCGTGCCCGTCTGTAGTGTCAGTGCTGCTGCACCGCAGCGGCGATCTCCAGAAGGGAAGTTCGAGGGGCTTGCTGGAAAAGCGCACGGTTGTGAATCTGCTGAGTGTGTGTGCTGTGGCTCAGCGAGGGGAGGAGCGTGGAGCAGGTGGCCTTGGTGTCCTTCCTTGCTCTGTCGGCCGTTTGGGTATTTTTAACTGAACAAATGAAATATTTAACTTTTGGTGGAATTGGGAAGCTGGGAAGGCGGAGGTAGTCGTTTGGAGCAGGCTGGCTTCCATCTCCTGGGTATGTAAACAGTTGCTCCTGTTTCCTGGTGTATGCCTGAAGCAGCGAAGCATCCTTTCATCTCTTGAAGTTCCTAAATTTACTCGTCCTCTATGAAGAGAACAAGTTTTAAATATCTCTGGGTTTCAAAATATTTTTTGCAGTCTATTTTTAAATATTTTAGGAACATACTACCTCTTTTATGTCTTTTATTCTTTAGTTTGTTCCAAGTTTGGTGGGGTTTTTTTGTTTGTTTGTTTGTTTGTTTGTTTGTTTTTTGTTTTTTTTTATTTTGGGAAAGTTAGTATGGGTTTTGTGAAAGGGGAGAGCTGCAGAAATGACTGTGGGCATGTGGATGGCCAGTGTTCCCTTAGCATCTTTTAGTACACAGGATTTGGCTTTTCTCTCTCCCCTCTCTTCCCTTCTTCCAGTCCCATCCTACCAGCCAAGAGCAGCTTCCTGATGCTATAAGCTATCTGCAGCTTAAAACACCTTCAGAATTTTAGCCAAAAGTATCCCGGAGTATGGAGTTGTAGGAGAAAGTGCCAGCTGTCAGCAAAGTAGTAGCATGAGAGCTTGATTTGCATGTG